CCGTACAGAGGAAGGTGAGACTGACTTACAAATTGTAAATTTTCGGGTGATCAAGAAGGGTGCACGAACCCGTATCAACCGGTTGCTCAACCTCCAGGCACGTCCCGCAGTACCTCCCAGGACCTCCGTGTGGCATTCGCCAACGTGTGCAGCCTAATGAACAAACGTGACGAACTGTGCCGCTTCGTTGTCTCGGAGCGGCCGGACGTTTTAGGACTTGCAGAGACTTGGCTGAACTCCGACGTCATACCCCAAGAAGTCGCGTTGTCAGGATACTCTTGTTTCCGATGCGACCGAAAATCAAAGGCTCACGGTGGTGTTCTGTTGTACATAAAATCGTCACTATCTGGCAAACATACCAGCACCTATCGGAGCGAGGATAGTTTATGCGAGCAATTGTGGTGCACAATCCGCCTCAGGCGCGCAGAACTAATAGTGGGGGTTATCTACCGGAGCCCATTAAACCGTTGTTGCGATTGGCTACCACATATACAGAAGCACATGAGCCGCCCTCAGTTCTTACTGATGGAGGATCTAAATTTACCTAAGATATTTTGGCCAGACGTTCGACTTCTTCCCGGTCATGGCAACGTTGAGGCACAATTCGCTAAAATGACTATTGAAAGCGGGGCAACGCAACATGTCATCCAACCGACGCGCGTAACTCCACACTCGGCATCTTGTCTGGACCTAATGTTTACGAGCTGCGAGCAGAAGCTGAACGAGATCAGAGTCATCGAACCTCTGGCGAACAGCGACCACTGCTCCATTGTGGCAAGCTTAGAACTGTCGTTACCATATTACAATCAACGGAAGCCGACATTCAACTATTGGAAGACGGACTTCAACGGGCTCGTCCAAGCTGCAAGTCAGACTGATTGGACACTACCACAGGATGCGTCACTTGAGGCCTGTTGGTCATTAATGAAGGGGAAGCTTAACTCGCTCTGTACTCGGTTCGTTCCCCTGAAGTATTCGAAGATCGGACCTGTCAAACCGCATTGGTTTGATACGGAATATAGACAGTTAGCGCGACGGCGTCGCAAACTTTGGGATGGATACATCAGCTCGGGTTGTGATGAAGATTACACGGTGTACAAGAAACTGCGTAAGATATGTAACGCCGCAAAGATCAAGAAACGCCGGCAGTTCGAAGAGGAGCTAGCATCCTCGGCTACAACTGCACCCAAAAGAATATTTGCCTACTTGAAACGTCAACTGAAACCTGGGGGCGACCTACCGGTCTTGGAGAGCTTAGACGGAAAGACGCTCATTTCAAGCGCGGAGTGCGCGGACGCCTTGGCTACGCACTGCCTCACTGTATTTTCCAGTAAACCGGCGGCGATTTCAGTACCGGCAAAGCTTGTGCCAGTCTTGCACAACTGCCCACAATGTGATGCAGTCGAAGTGTACCAGCTACTCGTCAACCTCGATGGTGATGCTAGGGAGCTGGCTACTTAACCCTCAGTTTCATGAATTATGTTAGTTGCCTATTTCTTTGTTTGCGCAGTTACCTGCTTCTCTGCTACATTTTGGACACGTCGCTTTCCTCAGCCTCATTCGCAATCGCTCACAGCTAATTTCAGCCGTCTCATTCTGTGGACATTCTGATTGGTTTCTTTTGCTCAGCGTTCCTTAGCTTTTTCACGTGGATGTATTATTCAGCCGACACATATTTATTATACCTGTTTTTATTTTCCTGGTGTGTATCATTCTCACTATCAACTGTTCTGGCATTTGTTTAAACGCATCACTTCTCCACACTGATTGGACGCTACTCGTCGTTTTTAATGGTCGCTCACCAGAAGGTTACCCCCAGGGATTAACTCCGCAGACACTATTTTCTTTGCCGCACTTCATTGGCTCGTAATTTTCGCGATTCTCATTTGCTTGTTCCATTTTGTGTTTTCTCCATGCCTGTTGGATCTCATGCGTTTAGTAGCTTGGATTTGCCCTTGTTTGTAAAGCTATATAATTGGTGCCGTGCTGTAATAGAAAATCTGTTCATCCAGGCTCATCTTGGACTTCTTCTTGCGGTCGTGGGGTGAAGGCGTACTGGGCGTCACAACAGGTGCAAAGGCTCCCGGACCAGACGGACTTCACCCATTAATACTCAAGTCCCTATCGATTATCATCTCACCAGCCGTGACAAACCTTTTCAATAAATCGCTCTCTGAAGGGTCTGTCCCCAACGACTGGAAATGCTCGATAGTGAGACCGCTTCCCAAGGGTGGTGACCCGAGTAAACTAGAGAACTATAGACCGATCTGTTTGACTTCGGTATTATCCAAAGTGCTCGAGAAGGTTGTGAAAAAGTGTCTGCTATCGTTCTTCGAATCGATGGACGTATTGACGCCAGCGCAACACGGCTTTACGAAAGGGCGATCCTGCATCACCAACTTGATGTACGCAAACCACCAGTGGGTACGAGCTCTCAACGAACGGAAGGATGTTGACGTGGTGTACATCGACTTTAGTAAGGCGTTTGACAGAGTGAACCACGAGGTACTCCTTCGTAAACTGAGGACATACGGAATCGGTGGCACGTTACTTCAGTGGTTACAAGAGTTTATTGTGGGACGAAAGTTTAGAGTACAGGTCAATGACTACCTGACAGGCTGGTTCCCATCGACTAGTGGCGTGCCTCAAGGAACTGTACTTGGGCCAGTATTATTTCTTATTCATATCAACGATCTTCCGCAGCAGCTCCAGTCACCATGCGCCCTGTCTGCAGATGATTTGAAAAGCTGGAGGATCATTGAGAACCAGGACGACTGCGCTCGCCTCCAGCATGACTTAGATCGACTGTCAACGTGGTCCACTGAAATGCAACTCCCTCTTAACGCAAGCAAGTCGGAGTTCATCAGTATCACCAGACGTCCAGCCACTCGATCATACACCTTGGATGGCCAGTTGCTCCATCCCAACACATCTGTCAGAGACTTAGGAGTTTTCTCGCGACATGATATGAGATCACTAGAAAATACAGGGAAATTGTGCCGTGCGGGACTTCGTATGTTCTAGGCATTACGACGCAGTTTCTCCACATGGTCCGAAGAAACCGTCCCTCGTCTATTCACCTCACTCATTAGACCAATCCTTGAATACGGTGCCCCAGCTTACCATCCGATAACCCAATGGGAAACTGAAAAGCTGGAGAAAATACAGCATATCGCAACTAGTATGATACCGAGTCTACGAAAGCTTCCGTATGAAAAACGTTATGAAAGGCTCGGACTCTACACACTAGCCTATCGCCGAGTAAGGATTGACCTTATTATGACCCATCGAGTGCTACACTTAAATCACTTCCCCATACTGCGGCCAATATTTCACCTGCGGGAACCCTGTAACACCCGAGGACACCGTTACAAACTCAGGGTCCCCAACATGAACAAAGTATCGCATCAGTTTTGTATCGAACGAAAAATCGAAAACTTATGGAACACACTACCCGAAGGATTAATAGAGGCCGATTCTGTGACGTGTTTTAAAACCCGTATCGACGATTATTTCGCAAAACTGTGCTTTTGTGAAACGATGCACATACAATGCCAAAAGACATTATATGCTCGGAAATAATGACACTAGTACAAATTCCTAACCGAACAAGGATAAACGATTAACGGACCAGACACAACTGCTGATGATTCACAACTAAATGTTTTTGATTTTTCGTAATTCGATAGAGTTGTATAGGAACCTTTCTACTTGCCCTTAAATACAGTCTCAGTCTCAGGCAAATGAGTAAAAATGAGAACACGTTTTACTTGTGGAACGCCTCGACTTGTATTGTTCGCGTACTTTCATTCACAGCGATGTCTTCGGACCGATGACGTTGTTTCTCCGACTCAGTTAAATGACGATGAAGTCACCGCAGCGCACCTGAACATCAGCCAATCAAAGGAGTAGCGCACACAGATGGCTATGCCTGATGCGTCCATTGGTGGAAGCCGTCAGACTCGCATCCACCATTCACTAGGTGGCTCCAGTAGGTTCATCGGTATCCACTGATTGGACGTGCATAGCAAAGTATTTGCCAAATAACCACTTTATCGTACTCAACGGTTACCCAGCGTAGAAGTGCTAACGCCTCATTATTGCTTTGGAATGACAGAAAGTTTCTCGTAACAATAAGTGAGATTGAACGTGGCAGAGGGCGCATACTATACAACGTACTTATACAGAAACAAACGCGTTGTGGTATTATTTCCTGTAGTTCGCATGTGTAGACAATGGAAATACTAAGTAAATAGACGGTTACCGTACGGAAACTATCAACTAGTGGTTGACGCCATACTACTAAAGTTCTCAACATCCATAACTAATTAAGTAAGTAAGAAGTACGATGATATGTCGCATCCATGCTTCTCCAGCAAGCGAGAAACAACAGTCGCGTGCGGACTAAAGATGTCGCTAGGTCACCTCACGTCTATGCGGGCTTAAACCGGTAACTTCTGAAGTGCAGGGCAGACACACGATGGAGCAGACCTCTGGCTGAATTGCACATCTGTGATGCGGTGACACCAGGCCAACTCGACGTCATCAGAAAACACGTTAATCTACTAGCAGTTCTACGCTCGATAACCATTAAGTACGATAAAGTGGTTATTTGACAAATACTTTGCTATGAGTGTCCAATCAGAGGGAATAGATAAATCTAATGAGTTAACCCATTTTCTGCTGGCATCCTTTTAAGAACACTTTCGGAAAGGTGGTTTTAGTACTTAATAAATTAAGACAGATTGAATTGGGAAAATGATTTCAAAACCATAAAAACTAGTGTCATTTCTGAAGGTTCAATCATAAAAAGTATAAATATTACTTTAATGGAATGCGTTAAACCAGGTTTCAAAAGAGAGTCCATAGAAAACGCCAGCAGAAAATGGGTTAATATAGGTGCCTGGGATGAAGGTAAGGCATAAAAATCGTAGGTGGAATTGCGCACATATTCCCGCGTAAGAATGGTTTCTCTATAAGTTAGAGGACTGCGAACTTACACAACGAACATAATGAACTGAGAAACGTCATCAGAATGCTCAGATTGATGTCCCCGCCGAGCATTAACGACCAGGCGTTGCTTGCCCCGCCACCAGGAGAACATCCGACGACCAGGAGGCCAAAGCCAAACTCACGTTTGATAGGGACCAGTTTAGCGATTGCCAGTGCCACCTGAAATTAAAACAAGTTGGGTAGCCATCATTCTTGAAAGCAGAGTAAAAATCAGATACGAGGATACCGAGTAGTTAACCATTGGATAAATTTAATCATTCGTTAAAGGTGCATCGGCAGACTTTGGGAAGAAAAAGTATAAACATAAAGACAACCGCATTCATACCAATTATTAAGGGAAGACAGATTCTTGGGCTTAAATGATGTGATGGATGAAAGGTAGATCTTCCTGAGCTACTCGCTCGCCCCTACGTGGCTGTTCTCTGGAGCAATAAATCAATCTGTGTACTAGCTAAGTGAAAGTCAGTACGGTTATATATATATATATATATATATATATATATATATATACCTTACCAATTAAAATACAATTGGGTGAGTCCCACAATACATAAGAGAAAAATAGACTGAAAGGGAAAACAACTGTTAGGGTAGAAGGGTCTCACAGCAAGTGCGCCATTGCGTACGGTTCTTGGCCATATCCTCTAGCGTTTGCACCTAGATGTGCTCGCGGTCCTTTGGTCCCCAACTCGGAAGACAGGAACGCCCAACAACAGCTAGCTTCAACGTTTGCGTCTTAATGCATTGAATCCAAGTTTTACAATGTCCTCTTTTTCGTCGCTTCCACCCAATGCCTTTGCTCGCAAATAGGGCTCCTCCGGTAGCCACTGGGTAGACACGCGGAGCACATGCCCAAATCAGCGAAGCCTGCGCTGTGAACTGATGTTATCAATCGGTTGGCGGAGTTCATTGGATCTGAAGACTCACGGACGGAGTTCCTCAGAACTGATGTGTGGCTGCCATCGTACACTAGCAATGCTTCGCCGGCAGCGTTGATCGAAGGCAGATAACCGATGAACATCGCTTTTGTGAACGGGCCAAATCTCACAGCAGTACAGCAGAATCGCTCGTATCGTAGCATTGTAGACTCGTCCTTTGAGAGCGAGGCTGTGGTCACGACGAAGCCACAGGTGACGGTTAGCCAAAGCGACTCTAGCCTTGCAGACACGCAGGGAGTTCTCATGTACCAAACCACCAATACGAAGACAACTCGAAAATAAATGAATTTTGTTGAGGCTTTCATCCTAGTAGTTCACAAGCTACATAGCAGAGGCTAGTCCGGAAAAGCACCAGACGCGTTTCGCCCTATGGGGCTCGTCAGTGGTGCGCATTCCCTCGGTCCCCTACTGGGGATCGAACCCATGGCCGCTAGAGGTAGATGCCAATTAGCCAGCAGCTTAAGTCACTGAGCCATGAGGGACGTTGGCTGGGCTACATAATTTACAAGATAGGTTGTGCTATATCCCAGTTAGCTATACCCTAGAGAGCACACCGGTTTCTCTCATATACGCCTGATGGAAACGCAAGTTACCCGAGCAGGTCCTGAATTGTTGGATATGATTGTTCGCGCAGTCGCAACACAGGGTAAGTCGCTGATGGTGCGACCTGTGAGATGGAGGAGATGCTCAAGAAATTGCAAAGAACGTACTAATGAGGACAACTTTTCTCGAAAAGCTTTTGCAAAATTCAAACAAATAAAAGCAGCGTTGGCGGCTAACGTGGCAAGCAACCAAGAGCTGTGTCCCATGAGTGGTCAGTCTACAGGACCAGCTGAGGCCTATCACACTGGAAGTGTAGGCGGTGAGAATGTACGTGGAATCCCTAGACTAAGGGATTCACTCATGTGTAATAAAATGATGACTGTTGATATGCAAAACGGGCCTTATTTGTTTCACCGGACATTCGTTTTCTTGTTATCTATGCTCAACTTGGAGGCGCAGGAAAAAAGCAGGTCGCCGTTGTAGCAAATCGTGACTACAAACAATGGGTACAAAGCCACAGAATGAAGCTTAGTGTTTTCGGAGGACCGTGAATGTGTGTAGAGTTCAAGCATTACTCTTTATAGAGTAGCCGTAACGTCAAGTGAGGTGACAAGATTCGAAGCAGCCAACCCTGTGGAACGGCACTGGGTAGTGGTAATCGGAACAATCTGCGTAGTCAGTAAGCATTCCGATGCGATAGCATGCGTGTATTCCATGTAGGCAGCACCGTCATTGTGTTGAGGTGAGTTCAAAGTTGATTTGACGGAACGACACGAAAACGGGGGTCGATGAAGCATAGACAATGAGCCTGATAGAGTCCACGCGACCCGAGATTTACATAACATGAGGCCCCATAAGTCCACTGTGTGCAGGAGCGTGTGCCCCTTCAACAATTCATCTGACAGCTAAGTTGCTATGAATAAGCGAACTCAAACTTTAAAAAATCGTTCATATATGCATCGCGGTGAATAGCCAACTTCGACGAAGGATACAAATATGGAAGATAATCTTGTTGCTAACTGTTCGCAGTTCTAAGTTTGCTGCTGTCCTTCACTCGTTTGGGTTTTACAGAGAGAGAAATGGAAGATGCAAAGGAGTATACACAGAATATGGCACAAGTCGACAACCAACTGCCTAGTTCTACTTAATATTTTTACATTGTGTGTGATCTGGATGTTTCAAGGGGCCACTCGTGTAAGAAGTCCGTGGCTACCTACAAACACTTCACGGGTAGGGGATACACACATTTTACTGACTGACTGACAAGAGTGTCCCCAAAGCAAGAGAAACTGATATCCTGTAATTTTACAGATTGCTGGTAGGTAGCCACGCGGATGGGCGAGGATGAATTCTAGCTAAAGTTCAAATGCAGTTTTACTATGCTCACTCGATGGGAGTAAGCAAATTCGAAATCGGTAGTAGAGTGTAGTATATTCGGGCGCGTAACACCCAATATCCATCGGATTCACCAGTTACGGCCCCAGTGATCGGATTGGTCAAGGTTCATTTCATTGTGAATCACGGTCTACATTGAGATTGCGCGTCGCAATCCATTCATACATAGAGTACTACAAAATGATCCCTCCAATCGGTTAAGGTTTTACTTCACTTTTCTTAGTATGTCAAGGGAGTGATTGCTTCTCCATTATAACGGAATACCGAGTTGCGAGCTCTACACAGTGCAACTGACGCTCACGTGTTTGGTGCAGAAAACCGATATATTCATAGTGAGTAGCTTTGAAATTGTCTACTTCACCAATGCAACCAAGGTGGAACTTGGTCAGCATGTCTTCGGTGTATGCAGACAATTGCTCGAGAAGTTCACCAGCCGCGTCATCTGCGGTGGCTTAGACACGTACTACGCATGCTCGCTCATCAACTTCCGCGTCGGACGTTGTTTGTGATTGCTGCGCAGGGCTGGATGAAGCGGCAAGGTGGACAACGTGCGACTTGAAGAAGGTGACGAAACAGTTGGCCTCGGTCGGTTGTTTTCGAATCACTGGTTAGGATTTCAGAGAACCGGCTGTCGCTGGTTCGAGACCCAGGAACTCATGGCTCAAGACCGATTTCAATGGCGGACCTGAATCTCTACGTGTTGCAGTGAATCCCTTCCTCTTACCCAAGATAAAAACTATTAAAAAATCAAAAACAGTGAGTGGAAAACGGGACAAAAAGCGTTGCGTTTCTTTTCTTATTCCGCCTATTTTTAATAATGTTACATCACTGAAACCAAGGCTACGCATAAGAAGTTGACCTTACAGAAAAATTGCTCAACGGTCGACATGGAAGACTGACTTAAATAGACAAGTAATAGTGCTCTACTGTATAAGGTACACGGTACAATTGTGAAATACGAATGTACTATGAACATTCAATGCAGTTGTGTGACTTCCCCAGATATTCGCCACACTGTGTTTGCTGAGAAAGGCTAACTTTTGGTTCTTAGAAGAACTAACATACAATATGCCCCAGCCTGCCGGTGAAAGCAACAAAGGTCTATCCGCGTAAAAAGATATTCCCTGTGATCCAGTGGATCTAATCATTTCTTCGAATAAGTGGGTTGCTCAGATGGCTGGTAGGTTCCGAAAGGACAATGTGACCGATCTGTGTTCTTCGTGATGTGTACTGACAAATTGACTGAATGCAGTTATGTTGTGATCTACTATTGGGTATTTTTTGTTGTTGTATGCATGATGCCTTCTGGTGGATTATTAAAAATGGGCATTTTGCGTTCAACACAGGTATGATATATATGTAGCCACATAAGAAATATGCCGTTTTTTGTAAACTGCTTCGATCCGGCAAACTCCAAAGCATAATGAGAATCTAAGAGTCAGTTGAGTTGACTGAATACAAAAGTGAATGGAGAAAAAGAAGTTGGTTCACTTGGAAGTATACGGAAAACAATACTGGAACTGTCAATACACTGGCTTTCACAATGGCACAATTGAACCCACACTCTTTCTTGTGCCATGTAAGCATGAGGCTTGGGGCTCCACTGTTATAGCACCCTTACCTTCTCCAAGTGTACACCGCTAAAGCCAAGCCAATGCTTGCTCTGCTTCTTAAGCTCCTTAGCATAAAAAGTACCAGACTTATAGTACACAAGACTTGTACACGCCCAATGTTGTAGCCTTGCGCCATAGTATTCAACAATGTGAGACAGTGGTATGGCGGCATTAGAATGTGCTCATCGAGTTTTTACAAGACAGAACCTAGGTTGCATTCAGAGATTCGCATACCCTGGACGTTGTAAACTGACGAAGCTAGGCGCGATATGGCTACGTAGACTGAAACTAAGCATATTGATCCTTTTCGACGAAATTTATGAACCCACTCATACACTTAGATAGGCCCTCTAGCGACCATACACAGAATGTTACTATGTCCATAGGAAAAGATCTACATTGTCAGCTGCAATATCTCACACCGAGCTGCGAGTACACTTTTGCCTCATTACATATGCACAGATTTGGAATCCACTTCCATCGTCCATTAGATCATGCATGTCCCCTCATGTGTTCCATCTCCAAATCAATAAATTCCTCAGGGTACCAGAAGCTACGTACGTCACCAAATATTCTATGGCAGAGACAGTTTGTCCGACGAGGCTAAATGACAGATAATACCATGTAGGTGATAATAATCGGTTGTACATTAAATGGGGACCATTTTTCA